CTTGTAGCCTGTGATTGACTGTAATCCCTGCCACAGCCTCCGGGTGTCAGCGCACTGCGTTTCAAGCCGCACTCTGTAGCTTCGTTTGGCGCATTTTATGGCTTCCTCTAATGCATACCGTGATTTCCTGTACAGTTCATTGTCCCCTGATTTGAATGCGGTGGGTCTATCTTTTATTTTATTGCGAATGTCATTGTTGAACCACAGTTTCTGATTGGAGTTAACACTCCTCTTGTGTTATAAATGTCACACCACCCCCATGTACTTTTCATGTAATTTTACTTTGATCAAGTAAAGAAAACTGGGAAAATATATAAATTACACATTTAAACTTTTCATTCTTGAAATTCTGTGATGTAATAAAATACAACAAAATTGTTTTTTTGTAAAATTGTAAATGATTCAAACAAAACCTATTAACTTATTAATACTTATTAACTGTTATGCATATTAAAATGATAAATTCATGCCCTTTATAATTATACATTTCAAATTTTCACAGTAACAGTATATTTTACACTTCCAAATGTTCAGGAAATAAGTTGATTAGAGATTATGCTGTTTTAAAAATTCAAAGTGTTAAAATAAGGTTTTCATACGTTTGAAATCAGGGTTGAAGAAAGCAGAAATAATAGGATTAAGAGAAGAATTCAAATATATTCACCAATCAAGAAAGGTTTTTGACATATTTTAGGTAACAATCTATACATTTGTTCAGTACTGAAGAAGGTGAAGAAGATAAAATTTCACCCAACCAACCCCCTGTGCTTTCCGTTGATTTACAAAGTACTGAATCAGCTTGTTCATTCAGTCCTTACCGGTTTATTTTGTCTCGTTTTTTAGCCATTTTTTTCACTGTCTCCTACAAAATTCTACCATTCCCAAGGAGAGCAGAGTGATGAAGTCAGTTCATAGATGGGGATTATTAGGAGACCATGAATGGTAAAGGCCGGGGGGAAATTTGGCCAGGAGGCTGGATTTACACCCCTACTGTTTTTGAGAATCACCCTGGGATTTTTAATGACCACAGAACATCGGGACATTGGTTTAACATCTCATCCGGAATAGGGCGCCTTTTTACAGTATAGTGTCCCCGTCACTATAGTGGATCATTAGGAGCCACACAGACTACAAGGTGAGCACCCCTTAATGGCCCCACTAACAACTTTACAGCTATAACCTTAATTTTTCTCAGGAGGTCTCCCATTCAGGTACTGACCAGGCTCATACCTGCTTAGCCTCCCACTTGCTTAGCATAGTGGGTTGCCAATCGTAAGTTGCATGGTGATATGGCTGCTAATGTACACATTTAAGACAAATATGTGGCTAGGGTCTCTAAAAGTGATTTTTTAAGTTTATTTGTGGTCAGTTCCTTTCACGATGTTATTTTTCCACACACAGAACATAAATCGTTTTTCTACCAGAATGTTTCTGTCTTTTAGTTATTAAGTTTACTTCAAAATTCAGATTTTTCTCTAATTTTCTTGTACAATTCATTCTGTGGATGGGTGCTGTTCAGTAAGCATCCACACATAAGCTCAGGAGAATTGAGAATAATAAGACAAATAAACTATAATCGAACAGCAGGAGGAGCCATCAATGCCTCTTAAGTTATAAATATCACACCACCATCATAGAATTTCCAGACACTTCAAAACAGTGGAATCTGTTTTTTATTACAAGCTTATGATCATATCTTTATTACACAGGCTAGAATTTTGAATTGTACAGAACTCAGAACAGTCTGAATTTTAAGCTATCTTTATACAATGGAACAGTCAGAATTACAAGCTGTTGAAAACTGTTTTGAATCTAATTCTTCCTGCCAGAAGCAAGTCCGATCTCCAGCTGTGTATGTGGTGATGTATATTTCTGCAGTGGCAGTGGTGATGCTGACAGTGTGTGGAAACCTGGTGGTGATCATCTCTATCTCTCACTTCAAGCAGCTCCACAC